TTGAAGTGTGTTTTTTTTTTTAATTTGGGGCTGGGTTGAATGAACTGTTTTTCCCCCAGGGAGATGGGAGAGGCAAGGCCTCAAGTAGCCCAGGCTAGCCTCAAACTCACTGAATAGCTGAGAATGAGTCTGAACTTGTGGCAATTCTTTGGCACTGCCAGGACACCTCTGTTACCTGGCCCTTTGCCGAGACCGTTAAGGAGTGAATCTACCTCAGCCAGAGTTTTTTTCTGATGCTTTCCTTAAGAGTGCATGGGACTTCGAGATTTTTAAGGGACAAAGTGTTATTTTCATCGCATCCCACACACTTTATTTTGCCACACACACACTATTTTGTACTCTGAGTTACCTCTTGTTTGTTTTTAACTGCTCCAACTTTGGGCAGTGGACTATTCTTCAGTTGGCTTCTGTGTCTCTTGGTCCTATCATGTGAGTGTATTAGTTTGAACACTTCCTTAGTTTTGAGAGCCACAGGATGTCCCAGGATTAGCTTGTATATTTGGGTATCTCAATCATAAAACCAGCCATTTCCCTTGGGAACCCCTGTTTGTTTTATCAGAGGGCATTATTAGCACCCATGTTCTAAGTGATAAATATGCTCATATATATATATATATATTATAAACATAGACATATTTCTATATGTCACAATCTATGTCTACACTAATCAAGTTTATTCAGATATCTTTAACTCTACTCCATTACCAAAAGCATATTTTCAGTGGGGGAAAAAAAGGAAAAGAAAACCTTGGCCAACTCAAGGTCATTGCGTATATAAAGTCTTCTCTTTAGAGTGATAGTAAAACATAGATTGAGAAACAATGGGTTAGAAGAAAGAGAGCATTATACCTTTGACTTTTATTTTATGTTAATATTGCTTAAAGCAAAAGGGAGAAGACCCAGTTCCCTGGGAGTCATGTTAATGGAGAGGGGAAACACAGGCCTGGCTCTAGCCATGAAGACCCATCTTCTGAAGGGCCTAGACACTTCCCCTCAAAAGTGCTCACTGAGCTTGGAAGCAAACTACAATTCTAATAAGCTGCTTGTGACTCACAAACTGGCAGCTTGCGGACCACACAGCGCTGAAAGGCCAAGTTTGTGTGTGACCCCAATGTCCTTTCGCATTGCCTTCTCCTGAGTGGCTCTGAGTGTATCACCCAGGGCCAGCACCTCAGCTTCACATACTAACACAGCCACACAAACCCTGGGCCCTTTTATTCACAGCAATGCTCTGTTTCCTCCCTCAGGAGCTGAAGGAATCTTGGAAAAGCACCCATGAGTCACTAGCTTAGCTCTAGGAAGGAGATGAAGCTTAAGCGCCAGCTCTGTGTTAGCCATCTGTGTTGGAATGTGGTGGTGCATGCACTCGTAATCCGAATACTTGGGAAGTGGGGGCAAGAGACTCAGGAGCTCGAGGCTGCCACCTGCTAACGCAGAGTTTGAAGCCAACCTGAGCTTCCCGGGACCACGTCTCAAACAAGAAAACTTACCACAGGATGTTTGTTTCAAGTAGTATTTGCCCAAGAATGGCCACGGCTTTTTGGTTTTCTCTGTTGCTGTAGCTCAGTGTCGGAATGCTTGCCTAACACATACAAGGGTTTGGGTCCCATTCTTAGCACTGGGAGGATGAAAGGGGGCGAGGGAAAGAGGGGTGGAAGGAAGGGGTAAAGTGGAAACCACACTTCCACGCATCACCAGGTTCCAAACGACACTGCCATGCTGTGTTGGCCGCCCTAATGGTTGGTCAGGCCCTTTAGTGGTGCTGGCCCACTCTGCCCTGGACAGTAATAGTAATCCACGCCACTCGAGCTGCACCAAGAATCCATGACCCATATAAGCCAACCAGACACTCCTCCTGGGTTTTATACTGTCTCCAGAGCTCATCACCAGCAGGGACTAGGCCTGACTCGCTGATGCTTGCCCAGTGCCTGCTATGAATATTCAGTGTATGTGTGTTGAATGAATCACACAGAAAGCCGAGCACCTTCAACAAATGCTGAACTAAGTCTATCATTTTCCGAAAAGAATTCTACAGAGAGAGAAAATTGTATGATGTTTTGTAAGGGAAATGTCCACTTTGATAGCTGGGAAATATGCATCGGAAATAGTATCCTAAGTTGCCATTTCTCCATGCATTAACAATGTCAATCAGCCCAATAAAATAAAGCCCGGGGGGGGGTGAAAAAGACAAAAAGAAAGGAAGAATTACCTCATTACCTCAGCGTCTGCTTGAGCATAAAAAAAAAAAAAAAAATCGCACACTGGCTAATTTTTTTAAGGGACATAATATAACTTTCTAGAAAGACATAATCTACCTAATTATACCATTCAGTAGACGGGAACATACACTGTTGTGAGGTAATTCAGAAGCGGTGTGATTTATAAGACACAGAGCTTGGAGAACAGTACATATAAATTAGAGACTGTTCATATTATGACAGGCTCCGTCACTGCATTTCACAACTTTTGTCAAGCACAACCTTATTCTCACCACTGAAGGCTTCCCGCTGGAGAAGACTGCTGTCAGCTCTCAGAACACATAGCAGCCTCCTGCCCAAACACCCCTTCCTGGGGACAAGTTCAAGTTTCAGACTTGAAACTCACGAAAGGAGGAACCACATGAGGAGACAAAATTGGCCAAGAAATATGTGAGGGTTAGAGCTAGGCTAATAGGCAGGGCAGTACACATTTTAAAGGAGGCATTTTTGCCATTCCAATCGCAAACATTCAGAAACTTGTCAGGCTGCCCAACTGATGATTACTGCCGGCCAGCGTTAACCAGGATGTGTGATGAGGGCACTATTCGGGGCTTGCAAACTATGGCAACTACTGACCGAGCAGTGCCTCTGCGCCGGGCGACATAATTTCATCATATGCACGCCATCAAATCCAACAGTCCCATTTCTAAGACCCTATTCCAGAAAAAGGTAGTGGTCTATTTGTTTTCACACATCTTTGATTGAAGACAGCATAGCCTGATTCACTATCTATAGCCACATGTTCTAGAACTTGGGCCCCATACATGAGTAATTGGTTGCTAAAGAGTCAAAAACATACGTTTACATCAGCATTAAACAAGGAAAACCTAGCAACCAATCAAAAATGTTCTTCTTGTTCATGTTAAATGGGGGAATTAAAATTATGACTCACCATGGCAACAACCCACCATTGACATTTAAAAAAAAGTGGACCATAATACCGTTGAACCCCAGAGACCTGGTGGCCATGTTTACACCTCAAATGCCTGCCTTCCCAGCTAATTCTACAGGTCGAACAGCTGTTAAGTACTCGCAAATAAGTTTTTATCATGGTCTGTCTGACAAACACACTCCGGTTTTAAGGTATGAAAATCTCACTGTAGGCTGAACAACTCCAACACCCATGTGACAAGTCTTAATGTCAGAGAGGGAGGAGGGGAGGAAGGGGGAGGAGAGAGAGAGACAGTACTCGTAAGAAACACAAACCTAGGTTCTATTGCTCCTGGTTCAAGTCCTCCATCAGGAAAACGGAGCCCTCAAAAACACCAAGCCCGTGGATTTGTTTTTGAATTCAACACAAGAGAAGGAGCTCAAAGCCTAGGAATCCTCCCTTCTTCAAACCTCGTTTCAGCAAAGGGCCAGAGGTGTTTGTGGATGTTGCCATCGTTGGTGTACTCTCAGAGTTACAAACAGAGTAAGAGGGGGTAATATTTTATTTTGTTTTGTTATCGTTTGCAAACTGACCATCCATCAAAGGATCTGGTATTGACTGACACTGAAAGTTTCCTAAGTTCAGAAAAATGAATCAAAAGTCTTGTGTGTTGTGATGAGACACGGAAAAGTGTTACTAAAAAATAAGTGCTAGTGAAATCCAGTTCTCCACTAAACAAACAAACAAACAAAAACACTGGAGAGTCCAAGTAAGGCAATCTGTCCATCTACTGGAGTCACGGGTGCTGCGTGGGTTGACTTGGGGCTAATTGTGGAGAAGGAATGCCATTAACACCCATTCAGGGTTTCTAGATGCTAGATAGAGAGCCTTGCTACATCGCATGGGTGAGGTTAGCCAACTCTCCGAGGTGACAGTTCTGTGGAGATCTTTTTGCCCAGGGCTGACAGGTGTGAAGAACAACAGCTCAGGTTCTTGGTAGGACCTCTAAACCATCTGGCTTAGCCTGTCACAAGACTCCAGGAAGGGAGGACAGCGGGTCACTCAGAGAAAACCATACCCTGCAACCCTGCACACTTGTACTTCCTAAACCTATGTGGTTCCTCTTTCTTGACCCATGTTTTCAAACCCATTTGAGCAGGATAATTACCTGGTGTGTGTGTGTGTGTGTGTGTGTGTGTGTGTGTTTAACTGCCTCTAGGATCTGGCTTTGTTCACCAATGTGCAGATGACAATCACCAGCTACCTATCAAGCAGTGGAGAAATGCATGCAATAGGGCCTGGCTTTTCCAGCACCCAGCTCCCCCAGAGAGACCCACACAGGCATGGTGTCGACTCACTGACTAATAAATTGCTAAAAATGGGAAGTGGTGAGCACGCATGGTTGGCCTGAAAGAAAAAAAAAAAAAATCCCAGCTGGGTAAAGAAAAAGGAACTAGCTCGAACCCCAAAGGAAAGCTGGGAAAACTGCAGGCCCAGGAACGCTGAAGTGTGCAAGGGTGGAGCCTCGGCTAGGAGCCAGGCCAGCCGAACTACCGCCGTGCGCCCAGCGACCCTGCCCTGCTCGCTTCTCCCGCGTGGACCGAGGTGCCAGCCGTGACCCTGTCCACGCCCGATGCGTGTCCCCTCCCGCCGGTCCCGCGATCCCCAGTCCTGCAGGTCGCGATTCAGCTCCTCCGCCCAGGGCCCTGCACAGCGCGCGGAGCTCCGGGAGGCGCTCCACAGCCCCTGAGCTGCTGGGTGACCGCGTCGGCCTCGCGACCCTCGGTCCTTGGCTGTCACCTGCGGCAGCGCTCGGAGCTGTCCCGCCGGAGGCCGCGGCTCCCCACACCTGCGCCCGCCCGCCCGCCTACCTTGCTCCTTCAAGCTGGTGATGAGCTGCAGCTGCTTCTCCTCGTCCGAGCTGTTCATTTTGGCGGGTGGGGCTGGGGATAAAAGGCAAGGAGGGAGAGGCGAGGGGGACACGGGGGAGGGGGGAGCAGAAAGCAAGACGCCCGTGGCGCGGCGTGCGGCTGCACTACCCGGAAGTTGGGATCGCTCCCGCTCCTCCTGCTCCTCCTCCTCCTCCTGGCGCGCAGCACGCGGTGAGATCATCCCGTGCACCTACTCGCGGGCCGCGGCTGCTCCACCTGCAGCGGGCGGGCCTGGGCGCTGGGCCCGGGAGGGGCGTGGGCAGCGAAGGCGGGTCAGGTGTCGCGGCCCCAGGGCGTCTGCGATCATCCCAGGGATGTTCGTGCGGCCCTGCGTGCGGCCTCCCCTGCGCCCAGACTCCCACCCGCACGCGCGCGCAGAGGAGACCCGCCCCGGTTTCGCTACCCCAGAGCTGCACAGCGGATCTGAGCGGGACCTGACTGACCCCAGACGCTCAGGCTCCTGCCCCAGCTCTCACGCATTGATGTCCCACCAGGGCTGGAAAAATCTCGGTTCTGCACTGAGCACCTTGAGGCCACACCGCCCAGCAGGTGCATGCTGCAGGCTGTCAGGCAATTGAGTCACTACTGAGGGGAGGGCGTGGCAGTGTGGTCACGCGGGTTTCTATCCGTTATACCAGTGTGAAGAGGGGTCATCAGAACCTGGGCCCTGCCTCGCCGTCCTCACCACGCCTGACCTGCAGTGTGGATCATCTGGTTCCCAAGGCCACTCGGTTGCGTGGCAAAGAGCCTAGTGTGTAATGATGCTCAGCTCTTGTCCCTCTTAAAGAACCCCCCCCCCCGGTTGTGTTTACACCCAGCTCTGGAGTAGGCCCTGGCAAAGAAAGCCAGGCAGGCTTGACTCTCCCCAGCAATACTAGTTCTATTCACCTTTGCTTGGATTTCCCGCACTCTGGATTCCATTTAAAGAACGGGAGTAATAATGCATACTCTCCAAGAACTTAAAAAAAAATTGGACAGGAAGAGGAATTTGACCACAACATCAAATCCAGAAGGGAGAATAGAAGCGCTTGTCGAGCATGCACCAGGGCCCTTCGTTCCATCCAATAAGGGGGACGGGATGGCTCCGGAATGCTCTGCTCTGGATTCTGTGCAATTTTGTTTTATGATTATAGGTGTTGTGGCTGCTGATTACAAGCTGAGAAAGGCACAGTTCTTCATTCCGGTCATTAAACGCCCAAGATGAATCCAAACTAACTAAGCCTTGAGCATATCTAAGTTAACGTCATCACCTCTACACTCATCTAGAACTTCAATGCAGGACTTCTGTTCACGCCTCGTTTCTCAGTTTAGGCAAATGTCCAGGAGAAGGGAAAAAGCGTTGGCATTCGGTTAGATCCTGTAACCATACGGTACTCCTTATTACATACCATCTCATGATGACCTTTGAGTGTCCAGGGAATGGCGTTTTCACTGTAATAAATGTCAACAATATATTTTGGAACACATAGTTTAGCCAGCCGGTCATGCGGTCTGAGGTGGCAGGGTAGATTGCTAAATAAAAAGAATGAAAATGAAACTTTATGAAATAATTTCCATATAGGGATTTTGCTATCCAGTCCTTTCTGTCATGTGTCATAAGGTAATTAAAAATATTTTCCAGTCAGCTACAGTGATGATCCCCAAAGACAACCACATGGTCTTTGTCCCGGGGTTCCCTTTTTAGTCCCCATTCCTGAAAGGCGGCAGATGTGAGGGGTTTTGACCAACTGTGTGACCATACGAAGATGAACTGCTACCAGGTGTGGAATGAATGATAGTTTTATCCAAGAAAAAAAAATACATCCAGGAGATTGAAGTGACCACTTAGATTTTGTAGGGTAGCCAGGGGTCCTGTTAGACCCAAGGGGCCAGCCTATGACTGCTGGCCAAACCCCAGTAACCAGAAGTACCTTCTCCAATTCCACCACATGGAAACAAGATGCCCAGTGCATGTTTAGATTGTTTTACAGATTCCCACTCTTTTAAATGGCAGGTGGAATTTTTAGCCCCCAATTATATAGTATTGTATGATGTTTGGGTAATATGAGATGAATTAAGGACCTAGCCTCAAACTGAATGTTTTGGTCTGTAGCTCATTGAAATGAATCCCATGTAGCCTCTTTGAAATTAAAATAGCCACCTGAAAAACAATGCCCTATTATCCTGAGGGCATGAATTATTAGGATGCCTATTAGATTTACTTATCAGGATACAGAGCTTCTGTTACATCCTGATTTATTTATATGACATGAATATTAATGGAAAGGACAGAGTGATATAATTAGTTTTTGTTCCGCTTAGTAATACATGCAGGGATTTGTGTTTCATTGTGTCGAAGTTGTTACTAACTATCAAACAAAATCTAATTTAAAACATATTGAAATGTGTGACTTACATGTACATATACACATGCACTTGTTAGCTTTTTCAGGTAATTACAACAATATGTATAATTTTCTTCCAATACACAGATAAAACCAAGATGTAGAGAGAGATTTGTCCTCCGACCCATTCATTCTATGCTAGGGAGACAATCCTTAGAGACTTGCCTATGGGGCTATTTACCATAATGTTTAGCCATGATGTAAAAATAGTAACATTTGAATGTTATTTGGCAGTGCAGACAAACAGTTGTGATACAGGACCCACTGTGGGTGAACTTTGAACACATTAACCTAAGTCAGAAAATCCTAACTATTGCTTGATTGCCTTTGTGTAAAATGCTCACAACTAGCAAATAAATAGAAAAGTTGACTAATGATTTGTGTAGGACCGGGAATGGAGAAGAGAAAAGAACAGGAAATGGCTCCTGATAGGTGTGAGCATTCTCTGAGGGAATGATAAACTCTAAAACACACTATATTTCTGGTTGCACTGTTGTGCCCAAATTCTGAACCCCAGAAAACACCAAGAGACTCGATCCGATGCAAAAGCAAAGAGTCTTTAATAATTAACAAGTTAACTGTATTATCTCAGGTCCACCGTCCGTTAGACGGTGGGTGGCATGATCAGGATCCAGCAGGACCTTGGGGCAGGGAATTTACTGGAGCAGAGCAAGGGGGAGTGTCTGGTGTCCACAACAGTCTCAGAACTGGTGCGCTTTACTTCCAAGCTTGGGCGACCTGTCCTGAGCTGATTGGTTACTAGGGCCTATAGGCCCTCCCAGAGTGGTTGCCATGCCCTGCACTCCACTGTTACCTTAAGGCACACCCAGAGCCCTCCAGCTAACTTGTGATTGGTTCCTTGCCACATGGAGGGTACCTGGCTTCCTCCTGCTGGATCTTTCCTGCAGCCTCTCATGACCACTAGTGAGGGTCTTGTCCCTTCAGCATAACTCTGGATATTCTCAACACTAGAATTGTACGTTGTGTCCATTTTGTAAAGTCTTGATTGCTTTCATCCACAATGGCATGTGCAATATAGCTCAAAAAAAAAGCTGTTGTGTTTTCGAGATGATTTTATTTTTTGATTGTGTATTGTGCATGGGGGGTATACATGTAAGTGCAGGTGGCTTCAGAACCAGAAGAGGGTGGCAGATTCACCTCAAACTGGAGTGACTGGCAATCGTGAGCCCCGGAAGTCAGTGCTGGAAGATGGACTTACATCTTCTAGAAGAACCAAAAAGTGCGCCTAACCACTGAGCCATCTCTCCAGCCCCAAAAGCTGTTTTATTTTTTAAGATCCTCAGAGTCAGATGTAGTGACACACACCTGTAATCCCAGCGTTTGGGAGGCAGAGGAAGTTGGATAACCCATAAATTCAAGGCCAGTTTGAGCTGCATTGTTTCCAAGCCAGCCAGAAACACAAAGCCACACCCTATTCCAAAGCAAGCTAGAAGTGGTGATGCATGCCTTTAATCCCAGCACTTGGGGGCAGAGATAAACAGATTTCCTGATTTCAAAGCTAGTGTGGTTTGCATAGAGTTTCAGAACAGCCAGAAAAATACATAGAGAGATGCTGTCTCAATAATAAAAAATCAGAACCAACAATTTCCAGGGGAAAAGACTTAATAAATAACTCTATTACACCAATGTTTCTTACACAAATATTTTAAATTTTCAAATATTTGTGTGAAAATTGTTTTTCTTTTTACTAAACTACTTTATTGCTTTACCATGTTTCATCTTAATGTATATTTCACATCATTCCAGTATATAAATGAAAAATTATCAATTCTTGAGTTCTTAGATGGTTGTGTTTTTGTTACTAGTGTATGTCTGTTGATAAATAATATATGGAACACATCTAGCACATCATAGTTCAACCGCTAAAATCGATATAATATTCAAGTCTTTGAAGAGAGCCGAGCAATCAGCTCTGTTGTAGAGTGCAAGCCTAGTGTGCACACAGCAGCTCCTTGTTTGACCTTCAGCATGCCTCCTCTCCCTCCAGGTAACAAGAGCAGCTACAGAAAAGAGAGACACACTACACCTATTGCTACACATATTTGCAATAGCGCTGGAATATAAAGAGCTTTGGTGTAAATCTAGCAAAATTTGTGGGAAATCTAGATGCTAAAATGTACAATGCAACGATGAAAACAGAGATTTAAATAAACAGGTACGTCATGTTAATGAACTCCAAGATGTCTATGCCCTTCATTTGTTCTGTAGATTCAAAGTAATCGTAACCACAATCTCCTCCAGTTCATTTATAGAAATCAATCCGCTAACTATAAAATTTACATTAAAATCCAAAAGAGCTGAAAGAGTGCAAACAATTCTGAAAAAGAATATTTCCAAAACTAATTATAAAGCTACAGGGACCATCAAAGAGAAGGACACCCTGAAAACTGGGCACAGAGACCGTCCCAGAGGTACATACCGTCAAAACAGTTGTGCTGTTTGCAAAGTAACTCAAAAGCAGTATTGAAGAAGGGGGTGGGTGGTGGCTCATTAGGTAAAGTGTGTACTGTGTGTAAGCGTGAGTACCCAAGTTCCAATCCCCAGCACCCACCTAAAAGCCAGGAACTGGAGTGATGGAGACAGATACATCCTGGAGCCCACGGGACAGCCATTTTAGTCAACAGGTGAGCTTCAGCCTCAGTGAGGGACCATTTCAAAACAAGTTAATGAAGTGGAGAGCAATAGAGGAAGACAGCAGATGTTGGTCCCTGGCCTCCACATGCTACACACACACACACACACGTATACATGTCATATATACTGACACACATGTGTGCTCACACACACGAATAGGTACACGTGTCTCACACACACATGTGCACACAACTTTTTAAAAGCAATTCAATGAAAAAATAAATAAATAACCATTCAGCAA